AATATTTGCAAACCATATATCTGATATAATGTTAATAGCCAAAATTTACAAATAACTTATGCCGTTCAATACCTAAAAAAACAATAATTTTAAAATGGGCAAAGGACTTGGACAGATATCTCTGTAATAAGGACAAAACTAATGGCCTATGGCTATATGCTGAATATCACTCATCATCAGAAAACTGCAAATTCAAACCACAAGGTCTCTTCATAGCTATGGCCATTACCAATATCCATATCTCTTTTTGTATAGAGAAATTGGAGAACTTGTGCATTGATGTGAGAAGGTAAAGTAGTACAGCCACAATAGAAACCAGTGTAGAAGTTCTTCACCCTTGAAGAACCTAACAATAAAACTACCATGTGACCCAGAAATCACAAGGTCATTTATTCAAAGAATTGAAATCAGGATACCAAAGAGATACTTGCATTCTCAAGTTTATTACAACACTATGCATGATATCCAAGAAGTAGAAACAATCTATACATATATGAAAAATAAATGGATAAAGAAAATGAGATACATATATATAATAGAAATCAACCTTTAAAAAGAAGAAAATGATGTCATAGCCTATACCATGATTGAACCTTGAGGATATTATGCTAAGTGTTCCAAGTGAGTTATAGAAGACCAAATAGTATTAAAATACGATTCCACTTATATGATATTATCTAAAGTAGTCAAGTTCAGAGAAATAAAAAGTAGGATTTCAGGGGTTAGGGGAACAGGAAAATTAGGAGTTATTTTTCAATGGATATAGCATTTCATTCAAGTAAGATAAAAAGTTCTAGAGATTTCTGTCTAAAATATACACTCCAAAACTGGTAAGAGGATATACTTGATATTATGTGTTGCTTACTTGCTTACCACAGTAAAAGCTTTCCAGATGGCTCAGTGGTAAAGAATCTGCCTGCCAATGCGGGAGACACAGGTTTGATCTCTGGGTCAGGAAGCTTCCTGGAGAAGGAAATGGCACACCACTCCAGTATTCTCGCCTGGAAAATCCCACAGACACAGGAGCCTGGAGAGCTACAGCCCATGGTGTTGCAAAGAGTCAGACACAACTTAGCAACTGAGCGCGCACACACACACACACACACACACACACACACAACAATAAAAAGCGTAATTGCTACTACTGAATTCCTTACAAGATTTTATCCCACAGATGTTATGTGTCAGAAAAGTGTGAGCTTGATAGTAGGGGCTGGGGGGGGTGGGCAGAAATCTGATCAATATAATTGGGCACGAAAGCCCAGTTGCAGCAGATAAACACAAATGTGAGAAAAAGTAAAATTTAAGGACAAGTATGATGTTCTAGCATGGAATTTAGCACAAAACAGAAGAAATTACAAAATGTCATAAAATACTCTACAAATAGGCACTGCATTACTCTGTAGTATGAAGGAAAGGTAAAATATGGACATGGAAATAAAAAAGAAAATATCTAAAAATCTATGCTGTTAACTAAATTTTTGTTGATAATGTGACCCAAATTATGGAAATTTTAGTTGTTTTTCAAGTATAAATTGACTAAATGGACATTAAATGTTAAGAAGTGAAAAATGTAACAGAAGACATTCAGAAACTGTCAAAGACTGAATTTATGGAATTTTTCAATACCAGTTTTTGAGACCAGATTGCCATATACACGTACTGAACTATTTAGACTAAGTTTTGTTTTCATATATTCTCATAGCAAAGTGTGCTTACCCTGATCATGGCACGTATTCTATACTAATAAAAATAATCTGTATTCCCTTGCTATCTCATTTTGTAGTTTGTCACAAAAACAGGCAAAGATAATGTTCTTTTAGTAATTTTATCCTGAAAGCATTACATAAATAATGAATAGATGAACAAATGTTGAAGAGAGCTCATCAAAGGAGATGAGACTTCAAATGTACTATAAAGAGCAGCAAGCACTTGTGACTTTATGACAGCAATGAATAAGCAAAGTTGTTTAATTTAGAAATGTAAAAGTATATGAATGGCAATATGTATTACCAATAAATAACCAGAAACCTAAGCAACTGTATCTTAAAAGAGAAGTAAGAAAAGGTAAAGTAGCCATTGAAACATATGTGAAGGATACAACAAGGCAATTTATAAAAGATGAACAATAAATGAATTAAAAACATAAGATATTTGATTCCAATACTACTCAGAAAAATGCAAAAATAGAACAGAAAATATGCTTTTGCTTTGCAAAATTTGCCATGTGAAAAAAATCTAGTATCACTGAAATCAGTGTTGGAAGTAGAAAAAACTTAATAATCTTGTGATAGCAACAAAAATTTTTACATTCTTGAAGATAGTTTGGCTATCCTCTAAGTTTAAAATTTATTACTCTCATTTCTGGAATTTTATCACTGGATATATCACACAAGCACACAAGGATATATGTTCAAAGTTGCTTTTTATGCACATGAAACCACAAAGAATGAAGCCATCAAAAGAAGATATGTTAAACAAATTATAGTACAGACATACCATATGCCATTGAACTATGTAGTCATTTAAAAAAGAACATAGTAGAAATATACATGTGTTTTGCATATAGGGTTATCGTTATCATCTTTCTAAAGTCCATATATATGTGTAGAACAGACTTGTGGACTCTGGGAGAAGGCGAGGGTGGGATGTTTCAAAAGAACAGCATTGAAACATGTATATTATCTAGGGTGAAACAGATAACCAGCTCAGGTTGGGTACATGAGACAAGTGCTCGGGCCTGGTGCACTGGGAAGACCCAGAGGGATTGGGTGGAGAGGGAGGTGGGAGGGGGGACTGGGATGGGGAATACATGTAAATCCATGGCTAATTCATTTCAATGTATAACAAAAACTACTGTAATGATGTAAAGTAATTAGCCTCCAACTAATAAAAAAAAAAAAAAAAAAGAAAAAAAAAAAAAAAAAGAAATACACATGTGGATCCAGAAAAATAACAGTGATATTTTGCAAAGTTAAAAAATTCAGGAAAAATATGCTTTAGTATGACTATTTATAAAAAATTTACCTAATACACAGAAATACACACATATCTGCATGAGCCAAGAAATGACCTGAAAAGATTAGCTAATAACATTGACTAACCTTCTGAAGCATAAGTAAATGAGAAAAATTTGGTTTCGCTTTGAAAAACTATTTACTCCTAACCTTCTGTGTGTGAAAATTATCAACCTTCTGTTAGAAAAATGTACTTTATTATTAATACTGTGATGTTTAATCAAACATATATTAAAAGTGAAAATAAAATGAGCACAGATAAGAAACTTAAAAATAAGTGTAACTCCTAGTTTGCCTAGAGAAAAAAAAAAAGAAAAGCAATTGAAATGCATGAATCAGCAGGCCTTTGAAGAAGTAGTGGACAAAGCTTGAGCATGCTATTTTAGGACATATGTCCTTTTTCTAAAACCATCAGGAATATGGGGCTTGAGACTCTATAAAACAGCCCATAGATCAAATTGCAGCTGAAGGGATTCATGCCTGCATTTAGTTATGAAGTTCAAATTGGAAGCTGTTCAGGCAGAAAGCTAATAGAAATGGGTGATAGCTAATTAACCTAAGGCTTCAAAGTAATTGCTCTGCAAGAAGCAATTTTAAAAGGGACCTTTCTCTTTTTTTTTATTTTTGAAAATCATAAAATGCCTTATATTACTATGGCAAATTAGTAAAAATATAAGTATACAAACAAATACTATTTTTTGAAAATTTTTGCCTCATCCAACTTCTTGGCAAATTTTAGAAAAAGCAAAAGAATCACAAGACCTATGCCACATATCACATACTGAATAACCCATGCTCTCAACTTTGTTGTATATGAAGATAATCAGAGTATATTACTGAAGTCAATATGGCTAGGAGGATAGGGTTATACTGATTAATCCGGTTCTGAGCCATTCACCTCACCACTAGTCAATTGAGTCAGCTACTCCAAAGCATATAGCTATTTAGTGGACAAGTGAATCCCCTAGCAAAAGCAAGGTGGTCATGTGGAATGAATGCACAACAACCCAAAAGAGCTTCCATATGCCATAATATACAACTCTTGCTTCCCATCTTTGATGAATGGTTCCTTATACTTTTAAAAAATAGTTGTACCTTTATTATATGTACTCATTCCTTCTCAGAGAGAGGCGTCCCTAATGTCCTGCATCTCTACATCCAGTTCCAAATACAGATACTTGTGTAGCATGGCATTCTCTCACCCCAAATTAGCTGGACATCTCTCACTTACAGCTTCATGGTACCTAAACTTCACATAGGATGCATAGATGTGAAAATGAAATCTGGGAATTCTGATGAGAAATGATGAGAAATTCTCATCTGAATTTCTGAAACTGAGGCAGGAAAGACAGGGCCAGGACCAAGGACAGTCTCCTCATGTAAATGCTGGGGACCACATTTTCTGATAAATCTTTGATTTTTTTTCATTACCCAATATGACTACAGAATATCATATTTTATAAAAAAAATTCTTTAAGAAGCATGCTATTTTTCTAGGTATTTGCAACAGCTAAGCTCTCAATAATTTAAACCTCCCATAGAACCAGTAAAAAAGTTCATAAGATGGCAGCAGTAAGTTGTTCAGGATTCAGTTTTTCTCACCAAACTTAGGTGTCACTCCAATGTGGTTAGTTTAGGACTGTGCTCTAGTCAAAAGATCAATTACATAGTTTTGTTGTTGTTGTTGTTCTGTTTTTGTTGTTTTTTTTTTTTTTTTTTTAGGTCTGAACCATTTATCCCTCTGCTAGAATCAGAGTGGGACAGATTTTTCTAAGGTGCATTGATTACCTGCTGTAGATTTGCATACACAAAAATGTTAGCATGATTTACCAAGACAAACTGCAGCTAATATTTCAAGACCCCAAATGCATACTATCATAATTAAATTTAAATGGTTGTTTATGGGTATCCACAATTTGATTGGAACTACTTCTAGGATTGTGCTTGCATGCTGGATCATGTAATGGATAATGAATCAGTAGTATGGAGGGTTTTATTTCATCAGCTGGTTTGTAACTAAGCACAAGTTATATGATAAATAACATGTCTTCTAGTATTTTGCTATTGGAACTTTACTATTTAAAAAAATAGATAATTTACCTAAATCTTAAATTGTTATTTACAAAATTATTATAGCATGGGTCTTAGAAAAATAAAAGGTTTTTTTCAAAATAATATGTCTTCTAGATTGTTCTTATTTTTAGTAATAATATTAATGTCTATTTATTTGTCTTTTATTACAGGATTTATTTATACATGTGGTGGAACTTTAAAAGGATTGAATGGCACTATAGAAAGCCCTGGTTTTCCATATGGATATCCAAATGGTGCAAACTGTACGTGGGTAATAATAGCAGAAGAACGAAATAGAATACAAATTGTTTTTCAGTCATTTGCTCTAGAAGAAGAATATGACTACTTATCCTTATATGATGGACATCCTCATCCTACAAACTTTAGGACAAGGTTAGTGTATTTTGAATGGAAAAATAGATGGAAATATTTAATGGGTAAAAGAAGTTTATTTTACAAAATATGCTTAACATTTGTGGTGAAATTCAATTATTACTCCTTTGGAAATATATCATCCTATGAACAAATTAGCTCCATAGTCTGACTTTAGAACACTAGTAAATTATCTCTCCAAAAAGTGAATTTAAATTGAATTGTACCCCTTTAAAGTGGTTAAAGATACTTTGATTTTTAAAATTCTTGCCTCATGGCTTTATTCTTTATGGGCATGACTTTTAGTAAAGTGAAAGCATGCAATGCATCTTTCAGTGGTATGTGACCAATTTTAATATACAATAATATGCAAAATATCCAAAAGTCAATGTTTATATAATAACAAAATACATTAATTTTAGATAATGTGCATAGTTTATAAACTTTAAATATCTTAAAAGTAGACCCTCTTATATCACCAACTGGGACATTCATGATTCTGTCCACACAAACCAAATCATTTATTTTTAAGTTAGTTAATAAAACAGATTTGAAAACTAACTGGTACCCTGACTATTTATAAGTATTTCTTCAGTATTTCATTTTAGTATATCTAGACATAATTTATGCTGTATTGTCAAGAACTCTTATTAAACATAAACCAATTCTAATTCAAACCAACAAACTTAAAATGTCAGATACTACATGTTTCATGTAGTCCTAGATTTTACCAATGTGTGCATATTTTCCTTAACTATAGTGTACTGATTTTATTGTAATTCAAAATATTCTAAGCAGATAATTCATAAGAATTAGAAACCCTTACATACTTGACTATACTTGAGTTATGATTCTATGATTCTGTTACTTTTTCTAATAGTTGATACTGTGTATTTGACTTCCTGATCTACAGGAATAGGGTTATCAACACTAAGTTTTTATACATTCATCAGTCTTCCATATTGTTTTGCATTGATTTTTCACATCTTAAATGAAAATTTGATAAATATTATCTTCACTTTTACTAAAACACATAATATATAGGGAAGATATCGGACCAGGAGATAGGGCTTGCATATTAGTGCTAGCTTTGTTGTTCACTGGCTGTTTGATCAATCCACAATTACAGCTATTCTTGTTTAAAATGGAAGGCGGTAATAATAAAGAAAATCTGCCCATCTCATTATATTCTTCTGAATATTTCATGAGATAATGTGTATGAAACTGCTTCATAAATATATAATCCTTTTAGTACACATTTCAACTGTTTGCAGTCAGAATGACAGTTAAAAATGTCTGGAGTGTTTCCAAACACATTTGTACAAAGAAAATGTCACTAGATTGATTACAGATTAGATTCTATTTTTCTTTCTGTCTTTTCTTTTTTTGCTCTACATTTGTTTACTGAAGATTTCTAACTTAATTTCTTACTTCCTTTTACACTGTTAAATTCTTAGTATCTATTTATTTCAAAGATATACAGTATGGCAGACACATCAAGAGTGCTATTTCATCATCATTGCCAATATCATTAAAAGTTCGATATCTTTGGTTAATGATGCAGTCAGGATAGCGTGTGTGTGCTTGCCTGCACTAGTGGCAGCGGATGGGCGTTTGCTTTCACCTGTACACATCTAGTGAGGCCATGAAAGAAAATGGAGGTTACTTCTCACCTATCAAGTCAGCTAAATTAATGTATATAAAGCTAGAAGCACAAAGGTTTTGTGTATTTCTTTTGCATTAGCAATGTATGCTATTACCATTGTGTAAATATGGAAAAAATAAAATTCTCCAAACGTTATCTCATAGTTTTAATCACTTCACTGATATTATTGTTTGTACAAGTATCTATCCTCTCCAGATACACTCAAAAATGAGAAAACATATTTTTATTTTATCCCCATCCTTCTTTTTTTAAGCAACTGTCACCTCTGGGAAGTTAAAAGATGGTAAGATGGGGAAAATAAATGTATTGTTCTCATTCTTCTTTCCTAATCTGTAAATGGGTAATAACAACATTAAATTTACAGAACTTTTATGAGGAATATAATGTAATGAAGAGTCAATAAAACAAATCTTAAGCATTTATTAAGTGATTCCCCTGTACCTGAAACTATATCTTACAACTGTTACATTTAATTTCTCCCCTGTTTAAATAATGTGAAAAGACTCCTATTAATATCATCATTTTACAGTTTGGAAATTGGATTTATATTACTTGTCCAAGGTTAACACTGTTAAAAGTAACCAGAGGCAGGATCATCACTGCAATCCAGATTTGTCTGAGTTCTGAGATTAAGCTTGTAAATAAATAAATTAATTATAAAATAAATTATATATAAGTATGTAGTGTGTGTGTGTGTATATATATATATATATATATATATCTCCATGGTTTGTTTATTGACTAAAGCCTATTTTTTCTTAGCAATGTTAGGTAAAATTTAATGAATGAGATAAATAAAAACACAATAAAAAACAACTGAATAGTAGAATATATAAAGATATAAACAGAAAGATAAATTATAAGTTTATTATTGGTATGAGTTTATGAACTCAATTCTAGTACATTCTCTATAGCATTTGGTTATTGTCAGTATATAATATATCTGTTGGTCTTTATGTTTAAAGAAATACTATTGCTAATATTAGAGAACTGATTTTAATTGGCAAGACTTGGGGGGAAAAATCCAGTATGTATCCTACAGCTCCTTCAAGACTGTTTGTACACAGTCTGCTGTTTGCTTAGAAGCCTAATCTGCTCCTGGCAGTTTGATTCATTTTTGTGTCTGTCTCTTTGACTCACTGTTTTCTTGCTTTTTCTTTCTCTCACATCCTCACTTAATACATGTCCTTATGGTATGCCTGCTGCTTTCTATCTTTCAGAAATTGATACTCATATATTGTTACTTTCCATGCACTCCAACAGACTTTTGATAAACAGCTTTGTATACTTACCTTGTAAGAACATAGAAAAGATGATTCATAAGTCTTACCATTCTTGCTTGTACAAGAGATATATTCCATTTTGTAATCACAATTTCATTTTTAAAACTATTTTATAAACTCCAATTATTGATGATTCTGCTTGTTTTCATCTCATTGTTTTAAAATTTATTAAATAAAAATTGATATTTCTGGCCAAATTTGATACTTAAATAGCAATGTACCATTGGAAAATTCCTTTATAATTATATCTTTAGCTTAAAACAAATCTGGCCTAGATGTGAAAAGAACAATTGTAAGGTTTTTTTGCTTTCTATTTTAATACTGTGTTTTATCAATAAGAAAGTTATGTGCTGTAACTTAGTCTCTCAGTCATGTCTGACTCTTTGTGACCCCATCATGGACTGTGGCCCACCAGCCTCCTCTGTCTATGCTGGTTCTCCAGGCAACAATACTGGAGTGGTATCTCATTTTAGTTTTGATTTACATTTCTCTAATAAGAGTGACATTGAGCATCTTTTCACATGCTTGTTAGCCATCTGTATGTCTTCTTTTGAGAAATGTCTTTTTAGGTTTTTTGCCTACTTTTTGATTGGGTTGTTTGCTTTTCTGGTATTGAGTTGTATGAGCTGCTTGTATATTTTGGAAATTAATTCTTTGTCAGTTGTATCCTTTGTGATTATTTTCTCCCATTCTGACATTGTCTTTTCACCCTATTTGTAGTTTCCTTTGCCATGCAAAAGTTTTTAACTTTCACTAGGTCCCACTTGTTTATTTTTGTTTTTATTTCCATTACTCTAGGAGGTGGTCATAGAAGATCTTGCTTTGATCTATGTCATCGAGTAGTCTACCTTTGTTTTCCTCTAAGAGTTTAATAGTTTCTGGTCTTACATTTAGGTCTTTATTTCATTCTGAATTTATCTTTGTTTATGGCATTAGTTAGTGTTTTAATTTAATTCTTTTGCATGCAGATGTCCAATTTTCCCAGCATCACTTACTGAAGAGGCTATTTTTGCCCCATTGTATATTCTTGTCTCCTTTGTCAAAAATATGGTACCCATAGGTGTGTGGGTTTATCTCTGGGTTCTCTATCTTGTTCCATTGGTCCATATTTCTGTTTTTGTGCCAGTACCATACTGTTTGATGACTGTAGCTTTGTAATATAGTCTGAAGCCAGGAAGGTTGATTCCTCCAACTCCGTTCTTCTTTCTCAAGACTGTTTTGGCTATTTGGGGTCTTTTATGTTTCCATAGGAATTGTGAACATTTTTGTTCTAGTTCTGTGAAAAATGTCACTGGTTATTTGATAGGGATTGCATTGACTCTGTAGATTGCATTTGGTATTATAGTCATTTTCACAATATTGATTCTTCCTACTCAGGGACATGGAATATCTATCCATCTGTTTCTGTAGTCTTTGATTTCTTTTATCAGTGTCTTATAGTGTTCTGTGTAGTGGTCAATGGGAACTTTCTGTAAGATTAGGGAACTCAAACAGGGGCTCTGTGACAGGTTGAAGGGTCGGATGGGGAGAGAGATGGGTGGGAGGCCCAGGAGGGAGGGGACGTGGGTGTACCTATGGCTGATTCTTATTGATGTATGACAGAAAACCACAAAATTCTGTAAAGCAATTATCCTTCAATTAAAATATTTTAAAAATCAATTAAAAAAACGAATACTGGAGTGGGTGGCTATGCCCTCCTCCAGGGGAATCTTCTCAACCCAGGGATCAAACCCAGGTCTCCCACATTGCAGGTCCATTCTTTACCATCTGAGCCACCAGGAAAGCCCAAGAAAGTTATAGCAAGAGGTAAAAAGAAAAAAAAAAAAAATCACTCAATCTCATGAAACAGAGACAGATATATTCATATATATATGACCATACTATATATATTATGTTCACATTTAATCTCCTTGCAATAATATATACATAAATTCACATGTGACTAGAATTTTTATAAGCATCAAGTTTAGTGCTGTTTTTGTCTTACTATAAGCAAGATTATTTAATTATTCTCTTATAAAATATTTTGGTTTTTGCCTTTCATAATTAACTCCAATATCAGCATTAGCATT